AAATAAGTAGTAAAGTAAAGTAAAAATATCAGAAAAATCTACTTGAGTACAGTAACGAAGTATTTGTACTTCGTTACTTCCCATCTCTGTCTTTAACTTGGAATGTCTGAGTAACAGTGCTTCTGTAGACTTCTGTGACTTAAAATTTTCCTTTAACTTAATATTTCAGATAATAAACAAATCCTATGATTAGACCAACAAAGCCTAAGTGAGTAAAAAGTACCTATGTGGTCCACCATGAATAAGTAAAAATGGTGAATGAGATTAAGTTTATCTTAAACGCTGGAATCATTTTATGCCTAAAATACCCGGAGAGGCAAAACAAGAAGCTCCACCTTTTGTCAACCTACAAGATATTTTCACAAAGGTCTTGGGGATCATTAAAATGGATTATTGTACCTGAAAACTTTAAAGTGTGAGCATAAAGCAAAAACACATTTCCCTGCATTTTTTTTTTTTTTTTTACCAGTTTTGCTCTTAAACTAAATATTGCAATATTTAACTTCTGTTTATTTTCAATACATTGATAGAGAACATATTTGCAAAGTCACAAATTTCTACATTTAATTGCAATGAAACCTGAATTTAACTCCTGAATGAATATTCATATACATATTTTGAAGAATCAGATTTGTTAGTTAGGGCAGACCATTTCAGAATCAGACATACTTTAAAAATCCCAGAGGGAAATTACATTATGAGATGCTTTTATACTGAAGTACTCCTGCTGACCTGAAGGTGGCTGCTGGAGCTACACCAAAGGCTTTTTCAGGCTTGGAAACTAACACACCAACAGCTCATACATAAGTCACAGAAAAACTCACTGCTGAATAAAAACTCAACATCAGATCACTGTAGTATGAGCTTTAATCCATAAAGATTTGTTTGTGAATAATTGATTTTTTTAAAATCAATAAATTATACTAAATTTATATTTTGTAACACAAACAACAGTGATTAACCCGCCTTAAGTCTGCAGCCCTATTCTAGATGACAGCCCTGCCAGGTCCCGCCAGACTAAATAAGAGCTCTTTAGGGGTCTGTTTGTTTTCAGGCTTGCTGAGTGACAAGCTTT